GTAATCTTTCTAAAATATGTGTATTTCCTGCACGAAAATACCCCATTATCCCTCAGTGGCATCAAGTTAAAATCTAAATTTCTTAGAGTGACACTAGACACCTACTATAATTTGGCCATTACTGAATCTGCAGCATATAGTTTATGCAATGAGTGCACTCTAGAAACTGTAATTTATAAGTATCTTAGGCTATTTGTATTCGGTTACAGCTAATGGTGCCTTGTGAAAGCAGGTTTTGTGTCTTTTATTCTTTGCATAGTCAGCACTCAGGAAAAAAATATTTTTTTAAATGAATATATCCACTATGGCACCCTGGTAGATTATTTAGTTCCTGATTTTAATGACCAGTACCTTGATTTAGAAATTTCAAAGATTTTTGTCCCAGTTCATACTAGGTGTATACCTAGAGCTTTGTAACTCTAGGCAAATGGTTTAAGTTCTCAGAACCATATCAGGCAGATGGATATATAAATTATGGAAGATAAAGAATTGGTGAAAGAAGTATAAAAGGAACACAGCTCTATGGTAGTACTATTTCTATAGCCCCTTACTGCAGGCCAAAGTGCCTTATACATAAAGCAAGCAAATACTTGGTTTTTTCTAATTGAATTGGACATTAATGGAGTACATTATATTAAAATAAAAGTTTGACCTAGCAATTGGCAAACCTTTGTGGGAACTGGGAAACTTAGCCAAGGAAAGATAAAATTATCTCCCTTGAGCAGGCTGCCTGTCCCTCCTCCCCTAAAGTAGTTTCATTATTGAAGCAAAGGATCAATGAAAGAGGAAGCTGGGTCTGCCCAGTGATTTTCTGGGTACTTCCTCCTGAGTGGTCAATACAACCTACACATACCTGAACCCCACCTTGAGACAGGAACTTGCTGCCTTTCTTCTTGCAGAAAGAATGGGGACAACTACTGCCAAGGCCTGAAGGTAGTTGGGTGTAGGTATCCAGACTTCAGGAATACTGTCCTGGGAAGCTGGGGAGTGCTTTGTACTCTGCTTTCTCAGCTACTTCCTGGGCATCAATGACTTAAAAGTTTCACTTTTAAAAGAGTAAAACTGTAACTAGAAGAGTATTTCAAAGATTGCTCTAGCTTGAACCTCCTGAATTTAGGGGATGCGAATGGGTAACAAAAGGGGGGGCTAAGCAAAAGTGAAATTTGGATTTAGCATGTTGTGCTGTAAATAAAAACATTTCTTGGAGCCTGGCATATTTTCCAGAAGGCATACCAAAATATAATTGAAATGTGACTGCCTCTAAAATTGTGAATTTAATTTTACACTTAACAAATGCCAAAAAAAATGGAGGTACAAGCATCTTTAAAGTACAGGGTTCTAACATTTGAAATCTGTCCAATTTAATTAGTTGGGTCCCAGAGACTGTTTTCCTTTTTTTCAGTGGTCTGTGTCACTGGTCTATTACCCTGTTCTCTTCTTGGTTGTGAGATAGGATTAAATGTATCATTTATTTGCTTTTATTGACCTGAATCCTATCTCTTCAGCATACATTCATATTTCAGGAAGTAGGATACATCCACGTGGAATTCATTCAGTAACTTCTCTTAGTGACATTTGTGTGATCAAAGGCTCTACATGATTTATTTACATACGATGCAGCCATTTTTAGTTCTGCATTTATATTTTTAAAAACAAGAATGCACCTTCTTGATGGAACAGACATTACATTTTTAGACTCCTAAATTCCAGTACTTTAGAACAAAGAAGTTTCTTGGAAATTGAATCCATGCATCCTTTTTGTTTTGGACAGATAGTAGGTCCTAAAAGATTTAGTGACCTTGAACTAAGTTCATAGATTCAGTCAGTGATAGAACAAAGTAGACAATTAGATGAGTTTCCAACCCAAGGCTCTTGTTTGTCTCACATTTAAAATACAGATACGGTTTGGTCATGACATGAACGTTTTCAAACAGTGATACATGACTTTAACAAGTTAAAACCTCCAACATTACAATATTAGAATGCTTGTGGCTACTTATCCTTGTTTTTCCTTTCCTTTTTATATACTTGATTTTAATCTGTTTATTTTTTGTAAATGACATATACTCCTCCTTTAAATGATACAATGCCTAAAGTACTTCAAAAGTTAAACGGAATTATCATCTAACCCATATGTTGTACTAATGCTAACTGCTTTGGTCTCCTTAGTGTCTGTGTTTCTTTATGTCTTTGGCATAGTAGAGATGCTTGCTACATATCAGAGATGTTATTATGCTAACAGCATTTCATATTTTCATCCATCAGAAGTAGAAGCAAACTTCCTGAGTAAAATTATTTTCTTATTTCTTCAAGAAGTAATGACACTGTAATTAATCCTCATGAGAACTTTGAAATTGTCTTTAAGCCTGGTAAATGAATGAGAAATATCTTTAAATGAACGACTTTGGTTAATAGGATTGAAATATTATTTAGGTGTTTAAAAGAGCATTGTGATTTAAGGTCAGCTGTTTTCAACAGATGGGATCAGGACAACTGAATAAACATGCAGAAGAATGGATCTAGACCTCCACTTCAAACCATATCAAATTAACTCAATACAGATAAAGACTAAATTTTAATAGCTAAATGTTCTAATTTTAAAAGAAAAAGTTAAATTTAAAAATATTAAAGTAAAGCATGTTGGGAATAAAAGACTTTTTTAATAATATATGTACTTGTTTAGTCAGGATACATATACCAAGGACAATGGAATAAGAGTGAAGATACAGGGACTTCAAGCAACTAATCCATCCACTCTAAGAGACAGTTTTTTAGCACAGAAAGACCATTGCCATCTAGCTGGTTTCCCATCTCCAGCTTTCTCACTTCTTTTTTTTTTTTTTTTTAAAGATTTATTTATTTATTTGTACAGAACTGGGGTACAGGCCAGAGATGCGGAGGGTGAGAGGATTCACCAGAGACAGAGCAGGGAGCAGAACAGGCAGATCGATGAAGCACACTGCTGAGGGGAGCAGCGGGCGGGTTAGGAGAGGTCTGCCACGCCATGTGGTCACCTCCCGGGCAGGCGGGGATCGAACTCATGCGGAAGTGGCCCCAGTCTCTCAGTGCAGTGCTTTAACCCGCTGCGCCACCAGGGAGGGCCCTTCTCACTTCTTTTAATCCACCCTCTATACCAGTGGATCTGAGAATGTGAATTATGAATTAGCATAAGACCATGTTAGAAATGAAAACTCTTTGGGTCCTACTCTAGAACAACTAAATCATGACCACACCAGGAAGAGCTCCAGGTGATGCTCGTGCATACTGACCTTGGAGAACTGGTCTTCACTGGTTCCTTACAGTGTTAGTCAGAGCTCCTTAACATAGCTCAAAAGAGTAAAAAAAAAAAATATATATATATATGAAATTCTTAAAAGAAAATATGAATGAAACTTGATGACCTTGTTTATGTGATGCTTTCTTAGATGTCACACGAAAAGCACAAGCAATAAAAAAAAATTTTTTTTCATTAAAATTAAAAACTAGGTCAAAGGACATTATTACATGAAAAGAAAGCCTACAGAATGGAAGAAATGTATGCTAAGCTAGTAAAGGTCTTGTTGCTAGAATATATGAAGAACTCTTGAACAGTTGAAAGACAAATCATCCAGTTAAAAGGTGGGCAAAAATTTTGAATAGACATTTATCCAAAAAATATGTACAAATGATGAATAAGCACTAGAAAGATGTTTAACATCATTAGTTCTCAGGAAAATACAAGTCAAAACTATGGTGAGTTGCCACTGGATAGCTATAATTTTTAAATGGATAGTGAGTTAATGAAGATGTGGAGAAATTGGAACCCCTTGCTACTGCAAATGCAAAATAGTGCTGCTTCTGAAAAAACATTTTTGGCAGTTTATCCAAAAGTTAAAAGGTTGAGGAAAAGGGGGGGAATTAGACTATTATGCTATTAGGAAAAGGGCTTTTTTTATGGTAATAAAAGTATTCTGGTATTAGACATTGCTGATGGTTGCACAACATAGTGAATATGCTGAAAACCAGTGAAGTGTGTACTTGAAGTGGTAAATTTTGTTATATTAACTTTATCTTAATTAAAAATACTATTTTTTAAAAAGCATTATGGACCTGAAGACAAAATGAAAGATGTCATAAAAGATTGGAGACTGAAATTATAAAGTATTGTCAGTCACAAAGAACTGTAATAATTTGGTGTCCCCTAAAATGCCCTGTGAACAATTAAAGAACTAAAGAACTTTATCTGTGGTATAGTTTTTACAGCTGGATAGAGAGAGTCAGTCTTTAGATTACTCTTTGTTTAGAACCAAAGAGTGTGGTTAGAGATATTATGCAAATTGAGATGATAAAACCAAATTATCTATGGTGAATAAATTACCTGTAGTTCGGAAACAGCAGGGAAGTTGAAAGACTAATGGGGGTGGGAGCGTAGGACTGAAGGGATGTGATTTTTCTTTTTTAATATACAGTCCAACAGCAGCTCTCCCTAGATTTTGTGCTAAAATAAGAGCATTTTCACACATTTTAATTGCTCTGTGATAACAACAGTGTGAACTCCATCCACCAACATTTATCTATTTAATTTGGCTCTAATTTCAGTGTAGCAAGAACTCACCTTGTAAGTGGGAGTAACTGTCCGTTTAATAAAAAGAAATCCCTTCCCACATTGCTAGTCCTGTTGCATACCTCTGTAGTACAGTATTAATGACAAATAGCCTTTTATGTTTTTCCAGTTTTGTTATGTTTACGATCACTGTTTTCAAAATAACATCGTTATTGATTAGAACTGCTCCTTGAACAATGTTAAAGGTTTTTTTTGATTTTCAAAGATAAAGCTTCATGTTTCTGATTAGGATATTAGATTAGGTTTTCATGCCTCCAAAAACCTTTATGTGGAAATACTTTGTTCTGTAATATTCATGGTAAATTGTCTAGAACGTTCACACTTTTATTGTAATTAAGGTACAGTTTTAAAATGAGATTTAAAAGTTATTAACTAAATTGTTCTGATTATTTTCCAGACATATCATTTATTTCATCCGTTATAGTGATGCTACAGGACAGGGAGGAATGGATAAAAACATTGGCGAGCAACTCAATAAAGCTTATGAAGCCTTTCGACAAGCATGCATGGATAGAGATTCTGCAGTAAAAGAACTACAGCAAAAGGTATGCGATTGTAATTTAATTTTTCTTTATTTTAATCCTGGCAAATTGAGTCTGAGAGTCTGTTACAACTGAATAATACATTGTGAAAAACTGCCTCGGAAAACTGTTATTATTGAAACATGAGGCTAAATTAATGGGTGAAATTTGAGATTTTATTTGTTGTCTTTTAAAAACATTGTGACTTGTAGAAAGAGTAAATGGGTTCTTAAGGTGACTGTATTGAGAAAAGATAAAGAATGTTACCTTCCATAAATAATTCTTAAGTAAAATCACAGACTAAAAGAAGTATCACTGTCTCTGCTAGTTTTAATTTTTGGGTTTTTTTACATTGTTACTTGACTAGCAGATTACAAATTTTAGAATATCCTAGAACTAAATTTGTCACTAATTTTACAAAACTCTTCCATTCTTTAACTAAAACAGCTTAAAATAGACTATTTCAGTGAATTCTTCAATGGCTGTATTAAAAGTTTCAGATTTTTAAAATCATTTCTGTACACAACATTTCTGTTAATGATTTCAGTTTCGAAAGAAAGTAAATTGGGCGAAAGGTAGATCCAGGCAAAAATTACTTGGCTTAGTAGTTCCTAGGTATATATCTATTACTAGTCCAAATAAGAATAATGATCTTCTCATAGTGCTAAATTCATTCAAATTCTACATTCTATATTATCAAAATAAAGCACAATTATATTAGTATACTCTGTGACATGATGGCAGTGCTTTTTGTTTAATAACACTTAGTATTGATTAAGGAGTTCCCAATAACACCCACATGTATTCTGATTCTATGAAATGATTCACGGAACTTCACATAATTCATACTGTTTATAGCACTGACATGGTCAGATCATTAATGGAAATGATACCAGGTGAAGTATAGGTGAATCCATTTTCAGCCTTTCTGTGCATTCTACTCTCCCATGAAAGCATACCAACTTCAAAGTTCCTTCACATATGTGCAGGAATTTACAGGAAACTCCATTGACACTGAAGAATTCAGGGTTTTCACTAAGGCTGGTAGCATAGCCATCCTCTGTTAACCAAAATTCCACATACTTGGAACAAGAGTAGATGTGTTCATCTTAAATCTCATGGTACAATCTAGGTAGGCTGACCATCCAGTCACAACTTTATCATTTAGGAAATGTTTTCACTGCCAGTCAAGGGCCCATCTTGCAAGTGGGTGTTTTTGGACCTGTTATATTAAATTGTATCTGCATAGGCAGCTGAAAGTAGGGAGGGTCTTGTGCTAGATCTCCCCAAATCAAGAAAAAAACTTTTTAATCAGCCTGTGAAATTTTTACTGTCCTAAGAAATACACTAGTCATGCAGTTTATAGTTTTTTTCTATAATATATACTCTATAAAGGAGCTACACAGTTCTCTTCCTTCTTTCTAATTTATGCATCTATTATAAAACTAGCTGTTTTACACACACACACACAACTTTCCTGCATTCCACAGAAATCGTGATTCCCCTGTTGGTTTACAAAAGAATACTCCCAGTTATAAATGTATACTATAGGTCTTTATTAGGAGTGTCTAGGAGAGACAGAAGCATGATAATGACAGGGAGCTTGCTAGGATTAGTGAAATAAAGTTTAGAATTTGGATTTCTTTCTAATTCAGGTTTAAGGCATAATCACTTTGCCAAAACAAAACAAAAACAAGCCTGCTTTTATCCTTATTTTCCTATTAAGTTCATAAGATACATTGCAATCCTATACTTATTCAAAGAAAATGAGAAAACAAAAATTAGGGACAAATAAGTCTTGAATTATTTTTAGATTAAAGCAGAAACAGGAATTTCTCTCTCTATTCCTCCTCCTCTTCCTGCACGAGCCAGTGGTAAGCAAGTGAAGACTTGTAATTTAACCTGGTATCTAAGGTAGAAGCCTTTATTCATATCAGCTATTATCCCTAACGAGAGAAAGGGACATTTTCTAAGTTTATCATACACTCAGAAAAAAAAAAATGTATACTATAAATTTTATGTATTAAACTCAAAATATCTTGGCTTATTTAAGAAACATAATATTAAGCGTCTTATAAACTGGAGTGGGCCCTTGGTGAGATTCTGAGAATGCTGAAATAAAACATAACTTACAACTTTGAGAAACCAATATGTAAAGAACAAAGTTTTAATCATTGTTACCATAGTGTAGTTACCATAGTGTACAGAGTTGTACAATAGAAATCTGTGCAGGATAATGTATGAGCACAGAAAATAGGCACCTAACTTAGTCTGGAAAGATTAGGTCATAAATCCCACTAATCATGCTTAATACATGAGCATAGTTTTAAGAGGCACTCTAGGTAATTTGACCCTTCTCAATAAGACTAAGACCAAGTGTTTTAGAACCTTCTTCCCCCATCTCCTGCCAAGGTATACAAAATAGAGGACAAACAAAATTAAACTTAGTGCCCCAAGTAAAACAACAAATAAAGAAAACAGATAGCCCAATAAGAAAAATGGACAGAAGAGCCAAAATAGGCACTTTTCCTAAGAAGACATACAGATGGCCAACAGGCACATGAAAAAATGTACATCATCACTTATGAGAAATGTAAATCAAAGCCACAATGAGATACCATCTCATACCAATGTAAATAGGCCACATAAAAAATACCAGAAACAGTAAGTTCTGGCCAGGGTGTAGAGAAAAAGTAACCCTCTTAAGCTGTGTTGGAAATGTAAATTGGTCCAGCCCCTATGGAAAGCCACATGGAGGTTTCTCAAGACTAAAAATGGATTTGCCATACAACCCTCCAATACCACACCTAAGTATCTATCAAAACACACACACACACACACACACACACAAATTTGACAGGAAAACTGGGTTGTCCGTGTTTATAGCAGCACTGTTTACAATAGCCGAGACGTGGGAACAACCTAGGTGTCCAAAAATGGAAACGTGGATCAAGAAGATGTGATATGTATGCACTACCAGCAGTTAAAAAAGATAAAATCATGCCATATACAGCAACATGGATAGAACTGGTCAGGCCTGATTCCAAGTGAAGTGACAGGAGCTATATACCATAAGTGCTACTTACTTACTTGTGGAATAAATACAGGAAAAAACAATGGTTTAAAGTCAAACTTTAGAACCAAACCCTGAAAACTGACCATTGATCTTTGCCTTTGAAGGGGAGAAGGAGGAGGGTGAAAGCAGGGGGCTGGGGATCAGGGAAGAACACTTTGGACTAGAGGTGGGCTATGGGTGCTTTGGTAGAGGAAGGGCAGTGACTACACCTGTGGGAAAAAGGTGTGAATCAATATGTCAAAACACTAGGAAGGTTGTAAAACAATTAAAAGGCTTTTTTTAAATAAGGAAGTCACCCCCACTCCAAAAAAAAAGGGGGGGGAAGAAAGCAAGTAAGATACACATGGCTAGGAAGCAAGTATCATTTGCAGACGAGAAGGAAAAAAAAAAGAGAGAGAAGAAAAGACCACAAAAAGAGACTAAATGAAATGAAGGCAGGTGTGGAACACATTTCACAAGAAGAACTAAATGACAAAACAGAATTTTAGAAATCAAATTCTAAAGACTCGTGTACAAATCACATTGTTGGAAAGCGAGAGAAACAAGATTGGGGAAAAACGAGGAAGCTATGAGAAATATAATACTCTAAATTAGAAGAAGAGACATAAGGACAGTAGATATTCCAGAAGGTGATAGAGAGACAGGAGGAGAAACTCTAATCAAATATATAAATGCTGAGAATTTCTCATACCTGAAAGTGAAATAAGCATAGATGTCCAGGAAACATAAAGAACACCAAAATCTCTAAAATTGAAAATGACCTACACCAAGGCACAATATTGTTATCAAAAATCAAGCATAAATAAATCTTTTTTAAAAAATCAAAGATTAAAAATTTTACTGGCAATCAGAAAAGAATACACAAAGGTGTCCAAATTATAGTGGGTTCTGCTTGAGTTACCCATACGTAAGAAGTATTTTTTTTTTAAAGATTTATTCATACAGAATTGGAGTATAAGCCAAAGGTGCAGGGGTGGTGAGAGGCTTCACCAGAGACAGAGTGGGGAGCAGAACAGGCAGATCAGTGAAGTCTGCCATGCCATATGGATCACCTCTGGGGCAAGGGATCGAACTCTCACTGAAGTAGCTGCAGCCAGCTTGCAGTGCTGTGCCCAGCTTGCAGTGCTGCATCCTAACCCGTTGTGCCACCATGAGGGGCCCAAATGAAGTGTTTCTAAAGGACAAGAACCAGCCAAGAAGAGTCTCTTGCAAAAATTATCAATCAAATACCAAGGTGAAATAAAGGTCTTCCCAGTCTAGCAGGTATTAGTGTTTATCACTATAAAACTGTCCTACAAGAAATGCTGAAAGGAGGTCTACTACAAGAAAAGAAAACTCAAAAGTATAGTAATAATATGAAATTAAAATCAGAAACATGATCAAGAATGGCATTGCTCAACACAACATTAAAGGGAAGAAAGAAAAGAACAAAATCTGTATAGTTCAGTCTCCCTGAGTTGACACCAGCTCATAAAGGAGTTTTCAGACATATTAAGTATAAGAAGCTGAAAGAATCACTAGGGAAAGCCATCCAAATGAAAGAGCAGAAATAAAAAACAAATGGAAAAAAAGAAACAGCAGAAAGATAAAACAATCTAAAAAATAGATTAGCCCTGTTATTATCACTTAATTTGAATGGTATGAATTTACCAATTAAAAAAGGGCACACAGGCCCTCCCTGGTGGCGCAGCGGGTTAAGGCACAGCACTGAGAAGCTTAAAGCCACTTCCGCATGAGTTCGAATCCCGCCTGCCGGGGAGGTGACCACATGGCGTGGCAGACCTCTCCTGGCCCACCCACTGCTCCCCTCAGCAGTAAACTTCGTAGATCTGCCTGTTCTGCTCCCCACTCTGTCTCTGGTGAAGCCTCTTGCCGCCCCTGAGCCTCTGACCTGTACCCCAGTTCTGTATGAACAAATAAATCTTAAAAAAAAAAAGGGCACACAGAT